CCACTGGAGCTGCTGGAGGCACACCTCTCAATGAGGCCTGGGCACATTTGCGAGCTCCAGGGATTGCAAAGGCCTACTGGAAGCTTTCTGAGGACCCTGAAACGGCCCTGGTGTTGCTGCTGTCACGTAGCACTGAGATGCAGAAATAGATGGACGCAGAAAGGATGTTTCTATTGGAGGGCCAGACCATGTGGATTCAGATCATTCAGGGATTTTGCAGAAGATTTGCGTGCACCGCTCCAGCACTGGTATGTCAGGTTTCCTGCAGTTGCAAGGAACTACCGGCTATATTGTTTCATGAACGTGATGAATGAAGCATCTCTCCTCTTAACACTTGAGAAATTGAAGGACGCGATGTGGATTGATGCCCTCAAGTGCATGTTTGCAGATGAAAGTGCCTTGACGTGCGGCTTATGAGCCATGGTCCCTGGCCTAGCGGCTTTTTCTCCAAGGGATGGACTGTCCTTAGTGGGTGAAGAATTAAGCGCTTGGTACTTCCGAAGTACTTCCCCTTGCGGTTTTATCATGTTGGATAAGATAAGAAAGGGGTTGGGTGCTCCGAATTTTGTGGACAAATCACCATAAATCATCACAATTCCTAGGATTGGTTTGGAGTGAAAGCTTGCAGCACCCCTCCTATATTTCAGGGGCAGAAGGTAAGGTTTCCTGTAGATTTTCTCTTAAACCAATCCATTGAAAAACAGAGATTTAGGCATACCGGGTTGCACTCGCTGCCCTCTCAGGCAACCACCGGGATGTGAATCACACCTTTGCGACCATGAATTCCGATGCACAAGACTCAGACAGTGAAGACCTTCCATTGCAACCCATGGAATCTGGCAGTCATGATCGATTCGACTTGGATCATACTACATTGATGAACTATTTCTGCAAAAGTTGGCAACCCTGGTGTATAAAGTACAAAACACACACACACACACGCACACAAATAAACATACCTTAATACACATCCGACAAAATTATCAGCATTTGAAAGTAGTAGAGAGCTGCCTTCAACTTTGCTTGCCTTCAGAACACCTTCACAACCGATAGGGGACGACCCAGCACCGATACCCCTAGATCCCAACAAGTTCACACAATAATCAATAATCTGCATCAGCAGAGTGTTTATTTGTACAGAAACGACTACGAACAAGGCTGTAAACAGCTATCTCAGCTAGCTTTCCTCTTAAAGAGCACCAAGAATATTGTTTGCGGCAATTCATGCACCATTCCCACCCATACCCCAACCGATACTAACCGATACCCAATCTTGCAATTTTCCTCACTTGCCAAGACCATGCCCCACGTACTACACTTGCTCTTACTTACTCTTACTCTTACTCCTTACTCCTTACTCCTTACTCCTTACTCCTTACTCCTTACTCCTTACTCCTTACTCTTAGTCTTACTCTTACTCTTACTCTTACTCTTACTCTTACTTACACTCATACTCATACTCCTGCTGCTGCTGCTGCTGTTGCTGTTGCTGCTACTGCTACTCCTACCCCTACTCCTACTCCTATCCCTACTCCTCGCCTCACTCTACTCACTGCTGCTGTCTACTAGCACTACAAGTACTACTAGTGCTACTAGTACTAATATTGGCGACTAGTACTACTAGGACTACTAGTACTACTATACTACATACTACTAGTACTCTAGTACTACTCAGTACTACTAGTACTACGATACTACTAGTACTACTAGTCCGACTAGTAGCTCTAGTACTAACTAGTACTGACTAGTACTACTAGTACTCTAGTACTACTAGTACTACTAGTACTCCTAGTAGTACTAGTATAGAATACTACTAGTACATAACTACGATACTACCACTCACTTACTACTCCACTAACTACTATTCTTACCTACTCTGTCTCCTACTCCTATCCCTCCTACGCCTACTCTACTCCTACTCCTGCTCGCCTCCTCCTGCTGTTTGCTGGCTGCTGCTGGTGCCTGCTGCTGCTGCTGCTGTTGCTGTTGCTGCTACTGCTACTCCTACCCCTACTCCTACTCCTATCCCTACTCCTACTCCTACTGCTACTACTGCTGCTACTAGTACTACTAGTACTACTAGTACTACTAGTACTACTAGTACTACTAGTACTACTAGTACTACTAGTACTACTAGTACTACTAGTACTACTAGTACTACTACTACTACTACTACTACTACTTCTGCTACTACTACTACTACTTCTACTTCTTCTACTACTACCAGTACTACTAGTATTAGTACTAGTACTAGTTCTAGCATCAGTAGAAGCATTTGCTGCGGAACGTTATCAAAGAGCGAAAATCTTCACAACGGATAGGGGACGACCCAGTTTTGCTCGTGGCAATTAAGGGGAAGAAATAATTTTGTCCGCGATTCTTAATATGCTTACATATTATATATACAGATATATACGATATATATATATATATTATATAGTAGATCTAATGGATATAGCAATGATTATTAACAATGTAGATATACAGACATATGATATTGTAAGCAGGTGAGTGTTCACATAATACAAAACAATCAAGCAAAGGCACAACACAAGTACAACAAAGACACAAATATCACCAAACAAACCCATATACATATGCAAATAACCAAACACACACACACATACCGACACGCGCACATCTATCTATCTCACATGTGTATATATATATATACATATATATATATATATATACATATGTATATGTATATGTATATGTCTATGTCTATGTATATGTATATGTATATGTATAATTATAATGTATATGTATATGTATATGTATATGTATATGTATATGTATGTGTATATGTATATGTATATGTATATGTATATGTATATGTATATGTATATGTATATGTATACACATGTGGTTCCAGTCAGGCTCTTTACTGGGAACTTGGGGATTCTTGGAAAACCTTGGAACCGGATTGGCAGGGAACCTTTCCAAAGACTTCCAACACAGTCCCTTCAAGACTTGGTCACCGCTAAGCTCAGCTCCATATCCCTGTTTCTTAAGAAATTTTTGCGCTAACAATGTATCGTTTTAAAGTACATTCAAATATTCTTACTTCCCAACAACTTCATTTTCATGCTTCCCCAAAACGAGCGTGAGGCCATACACATGTGTATTATATATATATATATCATTTTAAATTGTAATATGAATATGTATGTGTATATATATATACATATATATATATATATACATATATGATATACATATACATCTACATACTTGCATACACACTGTAGCTTGCCCTACCCTCCTTTCTCCTCGAGGACCCCAATCCCTTCGTGTCGAAGCACCGGAAAGACGCCGCAGTGGCCTGGCGCTTGGACTCCCAGGGCCTTTCTGCCGATGTAGGCGGGCCCGGACAACCTGGGGGTAACAGGGGAGCAATGGCCAAAGCTGTATTTGAATGCACTGGATGTCAGTGGAAAGCACGGGAAATATTGGGAAAACTTGGGATGCCCCAAAAAACATCCAAACGAATCAAAGTGGTCGATCTATGGAAAGCATTGGTTTGAGACTTATCTATATGTGTATATATATATATGTATATATGTATACCTTTTTTGCACGTGCCAAGTGGATCACTGGATGTTTGCGAATGGATCAACTCGCTTAGAATCACAGCTGCCAAGTTTCTGCCACAGGCTGTCACAAGACATTGGAAGTGAAGAAAAAGGAGTGAACGCGCGGTCGATGAGCCCCCTTCAGGGCTTGGACAGAAGATGACAGAAGTGACCTCGTCAGGTGACTTGAAGCTGTACACATTTTCATGTTGCGGAGCTTGGAAGTGCTTGGAAGTGCCAGTGGAACCACGGGAGCTTTACATCCTTTTCAGAATGATCTTGGACGTTTCTCCTGTTGAATCTTTCTGACAAATTGTAACTGGTGGAGGGTGGCCAGTTTCTCCAAGCTTTGCCATGACTGCATCTCTTCGGCTTGTGCTGGTCATAACGCTGCGGATGTCAGCAGCATCAGTTCTAACAAATACATAAGGCTGTTCACAAAACCATGATATATTCGTCTTTGTTGATCTCTTTCAAACTAATTTCTATGTGTAGCTGCGGAGCGCCAGAAGCATTCCAATTGCAATACTTGATTCCTCAGATGCTACAATGCTGCTCACATGGGCTATAGAAGAGCATCCCCCGAGTTGAGGACGGCAAAGGCTTGTCAAGATCGCTGTCCACAGAACGGAATGGCACGTGCCCTTCGATTTCGCTTGCCCCTAGCCTCAAACCAGGCATGGCAATTGCATGGTGTACTATCGGCCCGACTGTACAGTGCACCGTTTGCGTTTTTTTGCCTCTCAAGGCTGCGTGGGGTAGCCAAGCTGCGGAGTAATTTGCTCAGCGGATTACAAGGGGTGTATAGATTTGTAAAACCATCGGTAGATTCTCCACGGGTCTAGCATGAGAGTCCGGTGGGTTTCTTACATCAAGGTGACGCCTTTAACCTGCCTGCTCTTTCCTGCAATGGCTGAGCCGACTTGTGCAGCTTCGCCTACACCACGCAATGGCATGAGCCGGCAACTAACCATTATGCAATTGTGCCTGTGAGGGACAGAGACAAAAGAGGGGCTGAGTGACCTTGAACTTCACATGTTTATTCCGATCTTTCAGTGTTCTCCTTCACATTTTCTTATGAGGTCAAAAGCGGGGTATTCCCAAATAGTGACTTCGGGGGGTCACCAAGTTTGGAAAATCTCAGTTTTGATGTGGTTTGATGGTCTTCCTTCCCAGCTCCAGCCTGTCCAGCCTGTCCAGTATCCCACGCTCCTTTCATCATCCAAATCCTGGAAACTGTATTGACCAATGTCAACCCAGGATGAAAATTTTGGGAGTTTCACCCTCAAAATTTGTACATCCCCCTATCAGCTGGGGGTTGTGAATCCTTTGTTATTATAACATGATACCAATCAAGAACCCACTTGAGAATATCACTGGCTGAAAGTTGGAGTTTTTCTCTGAGCAATGCCACTGGCTGGGCAGGGCAGCTCACCGAGCCAGTGGTTGGCGGAAGCGCTAACCAAGGCGCAGAGTGTTGAGGGGTTGAGACCAACAGCTTCGCCGTACCATTGGCATAACAAGAATGCACCAGACCGAAGTATTATAAGGCTCCGCCACTGCCGCCGGCCCCTGGGCCAGAAAGCTTGGGGGCGCGGTGGGGGCGGAAATCTGGGAAAAGCTTTCGTCATGTTGATTGTGAGGTTTTGGAGCTGGGGAACTTAGCGCCCCGGAGGAACTATTCGACAGTGTGAATGTGCATCTGTGTCTTCCCTCTGTGGTAGACTGGTAGACGTAGAAATGAGAAGTTGTGAGGCGAGGTATGAATTGAGTCATTGAAAGCAGAAGTTTCATTGTGTAGGTGGCAGGAAGACGTTTTGTAGGGATAGTGCAGGTAACCAGGGGTTATTGCGTAGCCATGCCGTGATCGTGCATCGCATGCAGTCGCGGTGTGGCCGGATCGTCGGCTGGCGGCTTTCACTGCCTAACGTTGCTTTCTGAACCGACAAGAAATTAGCTCTAAACAGGCTTCCAACAGCAGCCCAAAAACACCCAAAACGATGCCCCCGCTTAGCCCCATGCTACTGGAGGACGGACCTGGTGGCCGGCTCTGCTCTTGCATCTTGCTTTCTGCCTCCATTCTAGCTTGCGCTTGCAGCATGCTTTCTTCTCGCATCTTGCTTCTAACTTCTACAGCTCGCTTTTTCTTTCCTTGTCTTGCTTGCGCTTTCTTCTTGCTTGCTAGTTTCTTTCTCTTGCAGTTTGCTTTCTTCTTTATATTTTTTCTTTCGTCTGCTTCTTTCTCTAGCAGCTTTGTTTCTTCTTCTTCTTTCTTCTTCCTGCTTGCTCGCTTCTTGCTCTTGCAGCATGCTGCTTGTAATCTCTTCTCTAACGCGCTCCCCCTTGCTGTCGGCAGGGGTCGGCGGATTTCTTCCCCCCCAGAGTCTCTGATCATGCACCGTCCAAATTCGACTCATCAAGGCCTCCAACCCTGGCCTGCAAGAAGTTTCGTGGATGTTCTCACGTTATGCAACTGCTTTGCAGGCTGGAACCTTAGTCCAAGATGTTTGATCAAGCGCTGGGTCGTTTTTGGGGCAACCAATAAAGCTTACCTCCTGAGGTAACACGGCGCTTTACGAAGAGGATGCAGCGGCTGAAGGATTGAATCTGTAACGTTTAGGGATGTTTGGGGTATTTATACAGGGTTGATTCATCATGATTCACCTGATCTTTTGTAACATCTCGGAATACTCTTGCGACACCTATCCCAGACCAAACCACGACATGACTGGGTTTTTCAAGCTCTGAAGGATGCTTGATGCTTTGACTAGTGGAGTTCCAACGCAATTTTTGTCGACTGTTAATCAACCAACATTTTCTACATGACCAAACTATACTACGCGTCGGGGGTTTTGAACGACCGCTTTAGCCCTTTGTGTCTTTCTGTCAGTATATTTTCTCAAGTTTGCGACCTTTGTTCACGATTGTAGTCTGTCCTGCGGGCCGAGCATGCGCGAAGTGGTGTTGGCACCACCGGTAAAAAAAACATATTATCATCATTTACTGAATTCTCATACTATCGGATCTATCGGATCTATTGGCAGACCCTGGCCTCGCATAATCCTGGTGGTGAAAGGGTCTCAAAGAGTCTTAAGTCGAAGCTTCCGGCGGAAGTCAGAAATGAAAGGATCCAGTTGCACCCACTTGTTCTGTGTTAGCTATTGATGCATCAAGACTTGCTTCATTTGTAAAGAGAAGCGTAAAATCATGTGAAATCACGTGGAACATATTCAAGAACTATTCTCCTTGTTTGCTCCGGTGGTCAGTGGTCACATTTTGGATCCCTTACTCTTCGCATGAATGCTTCATTTCATTTTATTGCGGGGCATAAACTTGGTTCGCCTGCCAACATTTTTGACACGAAAAAACACGCAAAACAATGCTATAGTTACACAGTGTGCACTGTTTTTCTTCATTGCAAGTTATAGCAGAAAACGAACCACATAGATACCATCGCTGTGGCTCAAACGCCCGAAGCTAGCTTTGGCTGAAACACTGCCGCTAGACAGTCGCACAAATATGCTTTTGGCTTGGGAAAGTGAACAAGATACCGCTATCTTCAGGGTTTGACAGAGTTCGTTCTGCACTTTAACTCACTCGCAGTAATTTTGTCCAACTCACTCCAATTTACGCGCCCCAAATCACTCCGCCTCCCATGCTCGACCTCACTGATTCCTTTCCATGTTCCCCCTTGCATCTCGCTTCGAATCACTTGACTTACCAACCTTTGGGGCTCAAGTCTCATTCCGAATTCTGTTGGTTGGATCACCCTTTTCAGATCTCTTCAGCATGTTTCTTGTCATCAACTTGTCCCCGAGTGTTGCAGGAGTTCAAGCGATGCCGACATCAACAGGGCCTGGGAGCAAAAGAACGGTGCTGAAAGATTGCCAAGACTGGGGGTCCGACATTGGGGAGATGCGGGTGAGAAAGGGGAAGAACATGGTACAACATGTATAACATGGTATGGCACGGAATAGCTGCGCAAGCACTTGTATGCCAACAATGCGACCAGACCAATACCACGTAAAAGTTTATAGTTTATAGATTGATCTGCCAACGGCATCGCAAAAAATGTGCGGTGATACCAATTCTCACCGTTTCTGTAGCCTGAAACATCTTCAGTGCTGTTGATATAGGTTGGGAAGCGGCACAAACCCACTGGCAGTAGCTTCAAATCTACCAGCAGGAGAGACTGTGAGCAGGATATTTTCGCTCTAGCAATTTTACGATGTGGGGTTCTCAAGCTCAACCACAGAGAATAGTCCCGTGGGATCTTGTGGGTATGAGCCCCATGATCTATCACCAAACAATATCAAACAATGCATTTCATTTCAGATTCTGCACAAACCCTGTAAGAGTTTCGATTCCACAATTCCAAGGCCACTGCGCTCCATCACTGCAGGGCTGGTTTCGCATCTGATACTCTTTTTGACTGTCCTTGTACAGCCTCCCAATGCAACACGTGCTTGTACAACATTCCACATGGCTGGAATCATGAGCAGAATCAGGTGACAAGAAGCTAAGAAGCCTTTGCTGCATTTGCGTGACGTAAAGAAAACAACTCCCTTGTCCCAACACTCAGAGATTTGATGAGGTGTCATAACCCTGCAAACCTGCACGCCGACAAGGATATTTGCGTTTTCAGCTTTCATCTCAAGGCTTGTTGTAGATTGATGTGAAGGACTTCAGTTTCACGGAAGATGAGAGCTTATGCGTACAACTAACAGTTGAACGCCGCGTGCCCAAAATAGAAACAGTTGCTCAGTGTCAGGAATTTCGTTTTATTGGTGGGAGACACATACAATCACATACATGTTCATACCTCATTCAATGACTCATACAAGAAAGAAAT